TTAGAGCGTGAAATAATCCACACTCAAATTGGCGCCCACGGTCGGTTGTGACGTAGATGGACATCCGAAGTTCGCGATCCATCTTTCGACGAAAACACGAGCAACTGTTTCGGCAGTAATATCTTTAATGGGTACTGCTTCCGGCCATCGTGTGAAACGATCAACACAGTGAAAAGGTAGGTACATCCATTAGATTCTGGTAGGGGTCCTACAATATCTATATGGACGTGGTCGAAACGCATGTCTGGGGCTAGAAATGAGCCTAAAGGGCTTTTCGTGTGTCGCGTGACTTTACACTTTTGACAAGCTAAGCACGACTGGGCCCACTCCTTAACGTCTTTGTTCATCCCAGGCCAGCAGAAACGTTGTGCGATAAGCCTAATGGTGGCTCGTACACCTGGATGAGAGAGTTTGTGCAACGTATTGAAGACGTTGCGTCGACAACTCTTCGGAACTATTGGGCGTGGTTGACTAGCAGAGACATCGCACAAAATTATATCCTTGTCTGATCCAACAGGACAAAGTCGCAGTTTGAGAGTTGTGGACGACAACTCATGATGCAGCTCAAGGTCTTCCTTTTGACGCCGAGCTAGTTCAACGAGATCAATACCCTCGATATAGTTTATCGAAGCTATTCGAGATAGTGCGTCGGCTGCGGAGTTGTTGCTCCAGAAATGTGGCGGATGTCTGACGTGAACTGGGAAATGTAATCCAGCTGTCGCGACTCACGAGGGGAGTATTTGTCAGACGCCGAGCTGAGGGAAAACGTTAACGGTTTGTGGTCTGTGAAAATAATGAAATCACGACCTTCCACAGAATGTCGAAAATGGCGTACAGAACAGTACATGGCTAGGAGTTCCCTACCAAATGTACTGTATCTTGTTTCCGCGTCTTGCAGCCGCCTCGAGAAAAAGGCTAACGGTTGCCACTGGTTGTCAGTCAACTGTTGCAAAACTGCTCCAATTGCTGAATCAGATGCATCAACAGCAATACTCAAAGAGCATTGGGGTCATGATGCATAAGCATGGTTGCGTTCGAAATGGCTTCCTTGACTTTAGAGAAAGCAAGTCTAGCCGCGTTGTCCAGAGACACGAACTTCGCAGTTCCTCGAAGTAGATCTGTGAGTGGTCTCATGACAGAGGCACAGTTAGGGATAAACCTTCGGTAATAACTTACCAGGCCATTGAAAGTGCGGAGATGTTTCACAGTGGTCGGCTCTGGATAGTTTGTGATAGCCGCCACTTTATCTCTCAATGGGCGTATACCTTTGTTGTCAATGGTATGCCCAAGGAAGCTGAGTGATTCAACTCCTATTTCACACTTCTGTAAGTTAACTGTGATGCCATGTTTTTTAAGTCTTTCGAATGCGAGGTCCAAATGTTTAAGGTGAGTTTCCTTATCTGGACTCGCAATTAGACAGTCATCGATGTAGACATGAACAAAATTCAGACCACGGAAGACATCGTCCATAAAGCGTTGGAATGTTTGTGCTGCATTCCGAAGACCAAATGGCATGCGCAGGAATTCAAACAGGCCAAAAGGAGTAATAATGGCTGTTTTCGCGATATCTTCTGCTGCCATAGGTATCTGGTTGTACGCTTTGACCAAGTCGATTTTGGAGAAAATGTTCATGCCGCATAAGGTTGCGGTCAAGTCGTAAACGTGGGTATAGGGTAGCAGTCCGGAGTTGTTTTGGCGTTAAGCCTTCGGTAATCACCGGTCGGACGCCAGTCGTTGCTATCCTTTTTGGGCACCATGTGCAATGGCGATGCCCAAGGACTGTTTGACGGTCTGATAATGCCCAGTTCGAGCATGTGGTCGAATTCATTTTTCGCCGTTTGAGCTTATCGGGGGCTAAACGGCGCGCTTTGGATGCCACAGGTGGACCTGTGGTTGTGACGTGATGCATAACATTGCTGGTTATGCACGGAAGAGTGTGCTTCGGTTGCTGTAACTCTGGATATTTCTCCAAAACTGCTTGGTCCTAACGATGGCTAAACTCGGACCTACATAGGTGGTGCCGCCAATAGATAACTTTGTGTTGTTATCTATCAGTCGTCGACGGCGAGCATCTACGAGTAGATCGTAATGGTTTAGCAAATCTATGCCAATGATGGGCATAGAGACGTCAGCCAGGAGGAAAATCCAGTGGATAGGTTTGCGTAAACCTAAGTTGAGGTAGGCATACCGTCTCCCGAATGTCGCGATTGCCTTGCCGTTGGCTGCTTGAAGATTGAAGGATGGGTCAGATGACGCTCCTCTGTCGTTGCTGGAAGAATGCTAACTTCTGCGCCGGTGTCGACGAGGTAGCGAACTTTCGTTTTAATATCCGTGACGTAGAGCAAACGGCTGTTTCCGCCGGCTACGGTTGCCGTGAGCACGTGCCGGCGTGACCGTTTCCCGAGTTTGTGTCCTTCTTAAAACGGCATGGTTTCCGACATTTTCTGGCTTCGTCTCCGTAAGTGTTATGAAACCAGCACCATTCAGGGTTTCCCACCCTGCTAGGTTTAGTTTTGGGGGAACCATGCGAGTTGCTGCGATGCTCCAAGATGCGTTTCTGTGAAGTGCTACGTGAACTAGGACTTCGAGTTCGCAGCAACTGTTTGACAGAGTTGCACAGCTTGGTCACCTCTGAATCCTGGCTCACTTGTTTGTCGCAGACGGAATATGCACTGGAGACGGGTCTGCTACAGATCTCCAGTATTTTATCTGCCGAGGCTGCCAGGTCATCGAGTGGGACCGACTGCAGTGTCACCAACACGGTTTGCACCGGTTGTGGTAGTTTCGAGAGAAATAGTTCTTGGAAAAGGCCGTCGTCGAATGTTCGTGCACCCATAACTTCTCGCATGCGTGCGAGGACTTCAGTAGCTGAGTGGCTGCCTAGCCCGATGTTATGTCAATCTTACATTACCTTGGTAATTTTGGTCTCCTTAATCTGTAGGTACAAGATCTCATGACCCTTGGTTTCTTTTTGTCGCTTTATTTTTTCGATTTATTTTAAAAGTTAATCTCACTTTCGAAGTCCTATTCATCTTATTGCTTAATATATATATATATATATATATATATATATATATATATATATATATATATATATATATATATATATCCTATCCCATTTCGAATGTTCATTCTATCAATGTATGAATAGTTAACCATTGAGTAGTCGTAACAGCATCAATGTCGGTTGTTGGCAACGGTCTCAGAGTGAAAGGTTGACGTAGGTGTAAGAAGCTTGATATCGGTATAAGGATATGAAGACAAGGGATAAGATAAAGAGAAGGAGCGTAGGTTATGGTTATTCGGGTTTTCGTTAGGAGAGATGTTTGACGAATACATCTACTAATTGAATGCCGTTGTTGTTGTATGAGGACCTATGTCGAGTTCCGGTCGGTATGCTAACGTCAAAAAGCCTCCTACGTAGATGTTCATCCTTATTTGTGAAAGTATACTGATGGAGTTATACTCTTTTTAAGTTCACATGCACTAATCTCCTCACGGACTTCTCTTTAATGAGTCCTTAAATGATACGGTTCTATCAAATATGGAGGCTGTAAAATACAGATTATAAGCTGCGAGATGCAGTTTAGAGACTCCTAGCATCTCCAAGGTGCAAATTGTTAATTACGAGTTCAGCAGTACCAATGTTGCCTCTGGTAATATGGAGCGAAGCGGTTGACAGCTTTGTAATACTGTTAGATTATTTGGTTGTAAAACACAATAAAAGGTGAAAGATGTGCAAACAACTGACTGCTCGATCATTTGAGGGAAGGTACAGTGGGTAAGTAGTGTACAATATAAAGACTAGCTGGTGGGAATCCATATAGCAAGAATTGATGGTTACCCAGAACCGGTCACTTCGGTGATGGCGAATTCACATCTTATTTTAATCTTGAGAAAATTATTATGTTCCAGTTTTCATTTACTGAATTTCTTGATACATTTTTTGTGTTGTCCCTATTTTTGACCTCTTTCAGATGTGTTGCTTTAAAATGTGATAAACTGAACGCAAAATCCTTTTTATCCGGTTCTATGCTAATTTTTCCTATTTTTCTGGTTGACGAAACCTCAGTAAACCAAAAGGACTTGAACCATATGATTAATTCGTTGAAAAAAGAACATCTAAACCAATTAACCATAGTAGAGTTAGTAAAGTATCCAAGAAATTCATCCCGACAGAAAACAAAAACAATAGAATATACACCAGTTAATTCATAAAAACGAAATTTAGCTCTAATTTTTCAGTTAGCCATACTTGTAAGTTGTTTGAGACAAAAAAAAGGCCGAACTTCGGGAAATGAAACTACTTTTCTTTCAACAATTCAGTAAAAACAATGAAGTAAGGAAGACAAAATAAATTTTACAAATCAGCTTTGAATTGTAGAAAGGAAAACGAAATCAGTGAGAAATGCACAAGAAAAACAAAACAACTTTAAATCCCTTCGTGCGTATATAGGTACACATGTAGCATATTCATTGAAAAACATATGGTTATGTTAAAATAAAATGAGTCAAATGTACAGGGTAACTAAAGTATTGAACCAGAGAGAAAAAAGAACGAAAAATAATAAACAGTGTAGCATACAAGCGTACTTATCTCGTTTAGAAATAATAAACTGACACGATAATTTGGGTTGATTCGAAACAACACTTGTTTTTTAATGTCATATAACAACACTGGGATGTAAACAGACTAGAGAGTTATGATATTTTCATCCTATTGCAATATGAATAACTTGGCAAAACTTAACACAAGGAGGTGGAACGAAAAAGATTTACGAGCAGACACTGCAGAAGGTGAACGACGTTCACGAAAAGGTGAAGTTTTAATTAAGAACTAATAACAACAAGAAAAAGAAGTAGTTTAACTCTATAGAAGAGAATTAGTTTAGGAATTAAAGTGATAAAATAGTCAACAGTAGTGCACAATACAATGACGATCATATAACGCAGCAAAAAACACTTAAACAGTTTGTATGGTTTACCGCTACGTATACTTTTTATCAGATTGAACGCTTCACAAAATAACTGTCTATATTCTGGTTTATAATCACTGTTGATTAAATCTTGATATTGTGAACGTATATGTGGATTGTATATCCGATCAAGACAACTGACAAAATTTATATCATCCAAAAGATCATTTATTTGATCAGAAACTCTTGGCTTTACTTTGTTTTCTACCTGTATGCTGTTTGCAGTTGAAATGTCCAACAGTCCACTATCAGAAGAGTCTTTTTCATCATCCAACTCATTATCATCATTCTTGTCACTAATTCTGGTACCTTCTGGTGACTGTTGATGAACATGCTATAATTGAGAAGTTAAAGGTGTGTAACTTTGACACTATAAAAGAATATTAAGAAATATTTTGCAGCGTACAAATATATACTCCTCGTATTTTCGGTTCATCCAACTTGCTTTAATCACATCTGGTTATAAGATATAAAGTGTTTTAATGAGTCGGTCACTTCACTTATCCAAGAATTTGAATCAGTCCTAATGGGTTGTTAACTGAAGAAGCCTAACAACCGAAAAGCTTTTATCAACTTGTTACTGTGACGTAGACAAGCCATCTAAACACTGAGCAAAGAAGTCCTTATATTACACGGCAGTACATTATGTACTACTAAATGACTAGTAAATACGACCATTGAAGGTAGACGGTATGCAGCGGCTACATAAAATCACAAATGTGGTAGGATCACCACAGTGTCACTCAGATGTTGGGTGAAGAGTATTAGGTAAGGTAGGGAAGTGAGTTGTTACCTTACTCCTACATACAATACTAGTTGGAGTTGAACTGAATAAGAAGAAAGTTATCAGTGGATAGATCAAGATGTGATACTAGTCTACGAAGTTTTCACTATCAGTCTGTAAAACTTGAGTAGGAGTAAGCGTATTCATGGGAGACCATGAGGGAATTAAATATGATAATTGAAAATTACAATGAATGACAATGTCGCTGTTGCATTCACACCATGTTTTCCAAATTTTACTGTTTCGTAACTTTATTCCCTTATTTTATGCGTTTTTATGATTGTTGATAATATTATTTTTATATGTTTCTCTTTCAATTTTTCGGCTTTCATCTTGATATGATGTCAACTGTGGCGACTTGTACTGTTACATAGCAATGTTAGGTCCTATTATGCTTTTCACTACATGAACTTGATCTTAATGGAGAGGATTTTGTCGTCAGAGATTGATGTTCATTGAAAAACTATTTAGAACCAGGTAGTAGTGAGTAGATGTTCCATTTTAGTTTATTGCCTTTAAAAATCGTCTATGATCAGATTAATGATCATTAAGTGTCTACCAGCTTAACCCTAAATCATCATAAGCTTTGATTATCCTTTTGCCTCAGTAATAAATATCAAAACTTTGATTAACTTTTGTAATATGCGATTACTTCGACTTATTTTTCACAGACACAGGAAAAAAAGGCTACAATAAGTAATAGCTCCTGAGTAAGTAGAATACTCAGGCTACGAAATTTCTAACACTAAACTCTTCAGAACCAGCTGTTAGGAAAATCATATCTTGGTTATTAACAATATCGCTATCGTCACCAGCCAATATCAGCTAGGAAAGAAAATTGAGGCATGCTGAAAATTAGTGGTTAAACTATTCGATATAGACATACTTAGGCTGACTAGTATCTAAAGTACGGAGTTATGATCGAAGGTGAAAAGAAAACTTGGGTTGCAGCAGGATTTGAACCATTGGACTATAGATTAACGGCATAGGAATGTACCAACCACGCACAAGGGTCAGCTGGTGACCAGGGTTTAATTGAGCTTCACCAACCTGGGATTTTTCCAGTTGTCACATGAACGTGTTGTACTTATCCGTTAGTCTGTCATCAACATCATTATACTAGCCAGTTCTCGAGCCAGTCCAAACCTAGCAGAAGTCAAAAGAGGAGCGGTAGATTGATTGTTCGTGAGGTTATTTGAAGTAGCAGTGGTTTGACAGACTGGTTATGATTTACCTCACCTTCAGTCATCACCTCAAATCACATATACCGAATAGTTGTTTTCTTTTAGTGTAGAAAATTTTAGGCACTACTGCTCACCTTGGATCCCTTTTAGACAATTCAGTGGTTCTTCAGTTGACCAGGTGTCATGAGTAAAACAGTCTTCTGACTTCGAGACAGTTCCAGCTAGTGATAAACACTGGTTATAAACGAATGCGTAAGACAGTAGCGCAGTTCAGTTTACAGTATCATATTTGAAAATGAACCAAGAACTCTGTTTCTCTACGTCTGCATCTATCAAGAAAACTAATTTTCCCTTCCAAAAACTTAAGTTTATCGCAAAGTCGCATTCTCTTTAGACAAGGGTGACCACTGGTTAGTGCCAGTAAGTTGTGTTGTTGCACAGTATCCTATTAGGAAGTGTTACCTTCAAGTTATTTGACTAGATATGTGTAGCGGTTAGCATACACTGACTTGTTACAGAGACTTCGACTTACAGTATAACAGGAGCAATGATTTCCAAGTAACAACAACGTGATAAACGGTAACCACCAAATGAAAAACATACCTTAAAATGTCAAAAAAATCAGCAAGGAAAATTTTTTAACCGCCTTATTATGGATACATTTTAAGACAAACTGAGAAACAAGCAATTCTATCATCCGTAATGGCCAAATCAAATATGAAGTGATGAAGAAAAATCCAATAGCAAAATCTAAATCACAACAAAGCCAGCACCTACCTGATTTCTTTTAGAGTCCATTTTGATGAGTGAATTCGACAACACTACTGACTCTGATGATTGATATACTTGCTCTTTATTTGAAGATTCTTGGTACTTTCCATTCTCCTTAATTGTAGTTGGAGTATCTATGAAATGTAAAAATTATGGTGTAGAATGGAAATATAATATTTTTAATATGAGAGGTTTGTTAGTAATATGTAACATTTCCATTTTATCAGCAGGTGTTTTCCTCGTCCAATACTTGAAAAGACTAGTTTTCATTTGTGTAAGAGTAAAAATTAGGCAGAGTAGTGGAGTATAATTAAACATTAAATCTTTTATTTGATATACCACACTATGATGACATTTAAGGCAGAGTTCATTGCTCAAAAGCGTATCACTTGCAAACTACGAAGCTTTTCAAAGTCACCTTAGTTCATATGCGGTAAAGTAGGCTACCAACATATCTTGTCCAGAAAATACAAAGCCATTGAAACTGTTATGCTGACTGTAATTTATTAAAATAATTCCGGAACAATTAATTTAATAGAAGGCTTCAATAAACATACACGTCGAAATATATTCAATGAAGCACGTGGCACTGGTTATTAAAGAAATACAAGTGATACTGGTAAAAGTACTAAACCCAAAAATAGCTTATCCACTTGCAGATAACTTGTGTATTTGTATGCCATTCCGCACGGTTCTTAAGTTTTATAATCTAATCCAATAATGTATACCCTTTTGGTTGATTCTCCATCAGTCGGTCGTTATTACTTTCAGTGCATATTACTAACATGGATTCTTGTAAGTAGCACTCACTACATCCGTACACATCTTGTAGTTGTATACACTTTAAAACATATTACACTTAGGTAAGTGCTATTTGATTATTTAAAAATTTGATGTATCAGTATGGAGTTTATTACAGAAAGAAGGAAAGCATCTATGTTCTCATTAGTAACAATCAATATCAAACTTTACGGATCATTTGTTTTGCTGTAAGTAGTTCATAATTATATTATCTTCATCAAATTTTTTGCACATAATTGGCAGTTTGTTTACCTATGGAATAAAATATTTTTGAATCAACCACTTGATCGACAGTTCTGACTTTCAGTATTTAGTTGAACTTTGAATATAGTCAACAGCTGAGTGGATTGAGTGTCAATTACTGTAAGATTTATGAGAAAATATCACTCTGCTAATATTATTCATAGAAACATGAAGTCAGTATTCTCAAAAACATTGCACACATAACATCTTTATTCCAAAGTTAAACTATGTTAGTTTTCACACATTTTATGTCTTAATGAGTATTCACCTTTTTTCTCCATATCGACTAAAAAGTTATGAACGCTAATAAAAGTTGGATTTTTAAATATCAGTGAGTGCATTACCTAGATATTAGGTGAACTCTAAGATGGAACAACAAAAGCGACTGCAAAAAAGTGGTGTCGGTTATTTTACATACAGACTATCGTGCGATGTGAAGACTTAGGTGAACAGGTAGATCAAAGATAAGTTATCTAATAGGCCAAAATAGCTGCTTAGCAAAGTATGTTTTCAGTGAAAGTCCAACTGCTTTATAGACATTAAATGAAAAGTACTTCCAACTAAAGGCCATCATAATTTGGTCTTGAATTTTAAGTTGTCTTGCTAGTTTGACCCCTATTTTGGGCTTAATCTGGTTGAAGAGGATTTTGGTAGCGTTGCCAGTGAACAGAACTATATTTGTTCATTTGATCCTATTCATTAAGAGGATCTTGGAGAGAATGTTATTCCTTGAGCATTAGAAAGCACAAAAAATTACCTAAATCAGTACAATTAACTAAAGTTGAGTATGTATGATAAAATTGGATAGCTAGGACAAAACCATTACTTGTCTGAGATGGTTACTGATGGATATGCAGATAACAAAGAATTGTTGAGTCAGGTTAGCATGGTTACAGTCAACGGTGAAGCAAAAGTAATGTAAAATAACATTTAGGCTTAAAGGTTCATAAAATATGAATCTGTGTAGAATCAATAGTCGGGTTGATCTACGTCAGAATACTTGATTATTGTAATGGAAAGCCGATACAAGAGCAAGAAGTTTCACTATCAAATGATGATGATAATAATGATTTCGATTGTCATATACTTTATTGGTTAAGTTTATATATTTAGGTTATAACATTTCTGAATTCATTTCGTTAATGTGCCTATTATCTGCCTAAGATATTGTCTGACATCAGCATAAGAGTTGTGTGATTGAATTAATCTATGTTACGTTAAAATTACAACACTTTAAAGACAAGTGAAAAACTCTCAGCATCTGATACAATTATATCCAGGACCTTAATAATAAAACACATCAACCCATGAAAAACCATACTGTAATACTCTGGTTTTAAAAAATCTTACCACCATGTGATAGAAACTACTTTCCACATTCCCATTATTACTCTGAGGTTACCTTAGCTAACCTTTTCATTTTCTAAATATTAAGTGTGTGTTAGAGGAGCTGACTAAATTCATCAAAATATGTTCAGCTGTTGACAAGGTAGTCAATGAGTAAACAGTTTCGAAGCCAGCTAGTTGGTTTAACTATTACATCACACTGCCCTTGAAACGGCTAATCAAAGATATGAGAATTTTATTAGTGACGATTTGAAAGGTGACAAGTACCTTGAGTATAATTACCATATGTATAATTGGATATTATCGTTTACAAAACAGATAGATATACGTTTGAGATAAATATACTCTCCAGACTTAAGACTTCATTGATATGAAGCCCAAAAAATATCCAAGAAAACCTCTTAGTCCTCGAAATGCATTGTATTATGCTATTTTTTGTTTCCAGTTATTGCGATTACAAACAAAATTGTACTGTCATAATAAATGCCAGTTCGGGGTTACTGGAAGAATCACTCGACAGAAAAAATCTGCAGTAGTTTCTACGTCATTCTTTGAATAAAAAGCCATCTAGGTTTCTAGGGCATTTACTGGATTTTTAGTCAAGACAAAGAAAAACCTATGTCAAGTTTTGCCAAAAGTGCACCAGTTCAAGTTACTAGATTTCACGCCTACATACAAGGATGAAGTGGATAAAAAGTGATATTGAAGAAAACAAAGATGGAGGAAAGCAGAGAGAATAAATAAATGGAGGCTTGTAGAAATATTTGAAATTCCGAAGCCGATAAACAGTGAACTACTGTGATCCATTTTGAATCATAACACTAACAACCTCAAACAGTAGTCCTGACTTTCATGACAGTCTAAACCTCACCGCATGGGTTAGACCAGCAATCAGAAACTTTATGGACTGGTGCCACGTCTTGGTTTAGACACTTTCAGTTTTAGCCATGCCTAATTTGAATACTGATAACAAGGCGAACCCATATAGGTGGCGGTATGATGTACACAACAGATTTCCAAACCACCTTAGTTGGTGAAGGTTCACAACCTGTTCGAGTGACTAGCCTTCCTTGCGTAGTACTCTGCACCTAAATTCTACATTGGTTGCATAAGGGCTTCAACAAACGAACGAATGGGAATCGCTCAGCAACCTTGTGCACATTCGTGCAGTAGACAATGAGCTAAACCTATTGTATGAGGGCTAACGATACTACCTAGTTGCTGAAACGTCGTTAGGTATGACAGTGCTCGAATCCGCAACCCACTGGTTCAAACTTGACCGTCCTAATCAAAGGACAATTGCCCAATCACAAGCAAGTAATACTACGAACTCATGCAACTTTCTCATATCGACTTGCAACCGGCAAATTCCATAGTCTTCTATTAGGCCAGATAGAACTCCCCCTAGTACACTTTACCCTTTAAAAGAGGTTAGATATTTCATCAGTACCAGAGAAGATGAAAGTCGGCACATATCAAATGGGAACTTTCCATCCACTTTGAAATTTCTTCAGCAACTAACGCAATAGAGCTGACGCAAACTCTCGTTAAGACGAAATGGCCAATGCATCCTGTCACTTCACTCTTTTTCTTCGAGCTGAGAGTCAGTGCAGACCAGTTGAGAAGCATCATTGTATATTCGATAAATGTGAAACACATACCAAAAACACTGAGAGTTTTGTTAAGGGTGTTTGGAAAACCTTGCGTTTTGTCGGCTTTTTAGCCAAATACAATAATGTCGTTTATGAACTATAAACCGACCATATGTCCAATCAACAGTAAGTCTATTCCTGAGGAGTCAGCGGCAGACACTTGATAATCAACCCATGAGTAAGTAATAGCGACTGCTTGTTAGTGTCATGAAGCTTTCTTGACACATCAGGTGTGGCCTACGTTCTACAGATGAAACGGAATATAATTGGTGGGTTGCAGTGAATTCAAATTATGTCTCCAGTAATTCATCGTCAAAATGGGAAGTAGCAACACTGTCTAACGATTTAGGTTGTCATACTCCACACAAGCACATGAAGATTCGAAGCAACAACACGAAAAATAGAAAGAAGAATGAAATTAAAAATCTTCAAAATTTGTAAGAAGAGAAGGGGTAGAGCAAATAAAATCTGATTGGACGATAAGGATAAAAATAATATGCACAAAAGTTGTAAATCAAAACCAGGAGTTAAAATGTACTCCCCCCACTCAGAGAATAGGTAGCTGAATAGCAACCTAATATTTGAATATTTAATAAAAGCCAAAATGATAATTTATGCATGAAATGAATGAAATATCATTGCTAACTAGGATAACGAAAACGTTTGTGATTTCACCCATTTACTGGATACGACAAAGTTAATAATAAGAATATGAAATAAAAGAAGTGATAAATCTCGTCAGGTAATTGTATTTAAAAGTGTCTTTTATTTGAGTATAACAGACATATCGATTAACCTCACATGTAAATTGCGAGGTATATTTAATTAATTGACCAACAATAGCACCTAATATAACAATGAAAGGTATATCTTGATCAGTCGCTGGGTGGTAGTAGGTAGTGGGATCCAGTATGCACATCTTATTCGGTCTATGGTTCCCCAACTGAATGTATCAGGAACCCACAAGCGATGCGATGGTATCCATATACATGAAGAAATCAATCAGTTAAGTGCTGAAAAGCGAACGAAAGGAGACTTCAAATCCTAAATGCATTTTGACCACCCTGAATATTGTTGGAAGTGACTAGTTT